TGAGTCCTCAATCCTAGAAGCAGGTCTGTTGACCAGAAAATGGAGTGGTGATCGACAAGAGCAGTCCCTCCCATCTTCCCTTCAACTCTGAGGCAGAAATAGTCCGTGGCTCACAGCGGCCCTTGCCTGCCACCCATATGCCGCTCCTGTGCTTTGCCCCTCCTGACTCACCAGAGCCAGCCTGACTACCTGGGATCCTGACACAACAGAGAGCCAGCCTCCAATGCACCTCCTCTTCCCACAGCTCCATCCAAGTGCGACTGGGAGAGCATAACATCAAAGTTATTGAGGGAGACGAGCAGTTTATTGAGGCTGCCAAGATCATCCCCCACCCTGGCTTCAACCGGAAGTCTGCCGACAATGACATCATGCTGATCAAGCTCTCCTCGCCCGCCTCCCTCAATTCCCAGGTGGCCCCTGTGGCCCTGCCCACCTCCTGTGCACCTGCTGGCACCGAGTGCCTCATCTCTGGCTGGGGCAACATCCTGAGATTGGGTGGTAAGTAGAACCCTCCGCCCTCTTTCCCACTGCTTTCCAGCACAAAGACAACAGACTTGGATTCCATTCACTTCCAGCCTTCAACTGGCTGCCACATATTGCTCTGTAGTGGGTGGCAGAGAGATGCAGTGTCCCAACGAGTTGGGCCCTAGTCTTAATCCCAGCATGTGGAGTCAGACATCATCACCCTGGGAATTAAAAGCTATTGTCTCTTCTTTGGCTTACACTTTGGGAGTCCTCTATGCTACTGCTTCCTGGTGTTCAGCAGTGGATTCTTGGTCCCACCCCAGTTTGACACATACTTCTAATCTTCAAAGTCTACAAGCCATCCCTGCTGCAGTGCCTGGATGCCCCACTGCTGAGCCAGAGTGTGTGTGAAGCCGCCTACCCTGGGAAGGTCACCAACAACATGGTCTGCGCTGGCTTCCTGGAGGGAGGCAAGGACTCCTGCCAGGTAATTTGACCCCTTTCCATACCAAGACCCCAATCTGTACCCAGACCCCACACACAAGCAGCACTTAAAGGATTTCATTTGGTCAGGCCTAGTGTTTAAGTTCATACAGTGGCTCCATTGAGAAGTGAAGAAGGCTCATAGTTGACTACATATAAGCTCCTTGTTAAGAGCAGAGGAGTCACCAGGAGAAAAACTGAATGCTGCCTGGGTGATTAGAATAGTGCCATAAGTTCCCGGTGAGCATAGCTGTGTCCTCCCCCATCTCTCCCTTCAGTAACTGGCATCTTCACCTTAGGGAGACTCTGGTGGCCCCGTGGTGTGCAACGGAGAGCTCCAGGGAATCGTCTCCTGGGGCAATGGCTGTGCCCTGAAAAACAGCCCTGGAGTGTACACCAAGGTGTGCAAATACTTAGACTGGATTCAAGATACCATCGCTGCCAACTGAAGGCCTTTGGTCCCAATAAAGTGGCTTTGTCCTCACTGCTTGTGTCTGTGCCTGCTCCATCCAGCCTCTTTGCGATGGAAAATGCGCTCCAATCTGATGTCGCCTAGAGCTCACCTGAGGACAGATGAGCACCAGATTTTATTCACACAAACCAGTGAGAATGGATTGATATGATATGGCACAATCCAAACAATAAGAGGAGGGGGAGAGAGAGAGGGAGAGAGGAAGAGACACAGAAAGAGAGAGAGAGAGAGAAAGAGAGAGAGAGAAAGGGTCGACCTTCTTCAGACAAATACCTTTTAGAAGGTTCATGTTGAAAGCATTCTGAACCTTCTTGAATTAATTGGTCCTGAAGCTGCTAATATTTGGCATGATTGGCAAGACCACAGCATCTTTTGATTATGGCAGGAAACAATTTGTACCACAGGCAGTTTTATCACATTGGATAACCATTGTTCATATATACAATCACCCATTGTTGGTATACCCAAGGCCATTAAACAAAAATGTTCTATATAGCAACAATTAATAGGCTGAGAAATCAGGAAGACAATCACAGTAGCCTTGAAGAAGTAAAAATACTTAGGTATATACTTATTCAAGAAGATAAAAGACCTCTACAATAAAAACTATAAAACCTTAAAGACATTGAAGAAGATAACAGAAGTTGGGAAGAATCTCCCATATTCACGGACTGGCAGAATGAATACCACAAAAATGACCATTCTACCCCATGTAAGCTACAGATTCAGAGCAGCACACATCAAAAATCTCAAGGTCCAAAATTGACATAGAAGCATAAAAGATCCCTGATAGCAAAAATAATTCTTAGCAAAATGAATCGGGTTTAGACATATCACAATACTGGGTTTCAAATATACCACTGAGTAACAAAAAGTATAGTACTGGCCCTAAAGCAGACATGAAGATTAAAGGAGAAGAATAAAAGGCCCAGAAATAAAGCCATACAGCTACAACTATCTAGTTTTTCACAAAGGAGCCAAAAAATATATACACACGGGAGAAAAGAAAGCTGCTTCCACAAATGGTGCTGGGCAATCTGGTTATCTACCTGCAAAAGACTGAAAGGAGACCCCTATCTTAACCCTGTTCAAAAATCGACTATAAGTGCATCAAAGACCTAAATATAAGATCTGAAACTAGTACAGTCCCACTAATGTACTCTGATAAAATTATATTGGGGTGAGGGGGTGGTTCTGGCCATTGGACTTAAAGCACCCCAGTTGCTAGACTGGCTCAATATCACTGGGCCACATCTCCAACCCTAATTTTCCTGTGGTTGTTTTTAGGTTAAGTCTTCACTCCAGCTAGAGTGTGCACCTGAGCCTTGATCCACCAACGTTTAGACTTCCTGTCATTCTCGGTGGGATTACAAGTATGGGCCCCATATCCAGCTTCCTTTTGTGGAGATAGGGTCTCAGGGTCTTTTTCTGCCTGTGCTGGCCTTCATCCATATCCTCCTATTTCAGCCTCCTATGGAGCTTTGGATGACAGTTGCATGCCACTCTGTCCAGCTATCAGTTAAAAAGGAGTCTCATGAACTTTTCTGCCTGAATTGGCCTCAAACTATGATCCTCCCATTCTCAACTTGCCCAATTGCTAGAATTGCAGGTACCCCTGGCTGCGAATTTTTAAAAATTCTCAACTAAAAAAAAAAAAATTGTGTGTACTTAAAATATGTGTCTCCCTGACACTCTTTCCTTACCCCTTGCTCCTCTCCTCCTGCCCCAACCAGGGCTCTACGCATTCTTCTTTCCCCCTCTAGTGGCCAAGCCCAGATTGCAATTACTTAGGTCAATGGAAAAATAAGGAAAAGCTGCCCCCTGCTGCTCAGGCTGGTGAATGATCTCAACCTTTTCTCTCCTACTAGTCAAAGCTCCTTGTAGGGAAAAAACAAAACAAAACAAGAAATCCTCCGTGTGCAGTCAGGCACAATGCCTGGAGGAGCAGAACTAGGGGAAAACTTCACCATCAGACTCATGAGCCCAGAGCAGTATTAGTTTGTAAGGCCCAGTTGAAATGGGAGTCCATGCTAGAAGAGTAAAAGGAAATTATTCTTAGAGAATAAATTGATACACAATTTTGTAAAAATAAAATAAGCTGTGTGATTCAATGAAGTAATGAAGTGTCCTTATTATATTCTGGATGATGAAAGCAATTGACTTTATTCAGGTTTATGAAAGAGTATTGTGAGCTCTGTCACTATTAATTTGATAGCTGACTAGAAGATTAGCTCTAGAGAGTGAGAGTTGTACATATTTCCCAGGTTTTCATTAACCTTTGGATTCTGTTTCAACTTCTCCATTTTACTGTGTCAACATGATGTAGTAAAGTTTGTCTTTAAAACCTTGAGTCCTGGGGAGGGGAAGGGAAAAAGACAACTTGTTTAATAGGGATACAAGTGGACCCACTGCAACAATAAAATGTACAAGATGCTATGTTGAAAAACAAACTTTACAACTTTGGTGGGGGGGTAGAGGGGGGAGTCATGGAGGTGGGAGGGCAGGGATGGTAACAGAAAAACAAAGGAGGAGGCAACAAAGCTTGATAAGAAATGCACTCATTACCTTGCTCATATAATTGTAATCCCTCTGTACATATTTTCACAATAAAAAACTTATTAATAAAAAATAAATAAATAAAAATAAAACATTGAGTCCTAGCTTGAAAGACAATAAAGGAAACAATATCTGAGAAAAAGAGATCCATGCTACTTAGCTATAGGCTAAACTTCAGAGTCAGCTTGCGCTGGAAAAATGAAATATCTACCAATGACTTAAGATATCTCTCCCCTTCAGGAAGGAGAAGGGAAAGCCTGTGACCTGGCCATGTATCCTTGCTTCCTAGACTATGTGTCTCCCTTCCCAGCCTCCCTAGGTATCATTTCCAACTCCTTTAGCCAACTGAGGCCAACAATGAGAAGACAGGAGGTCCTCTCTCATTCCACACCTATTCTTGAAAAGTGGCACTCTCTTAGCTATCATTCTGCCTATATCAAGAACAGTCTTCAGCTCTCAGTGGCTCTGGCCAATTCACCAGATACCTCTGGACCCCAGATGATCATCATAGAAGGCTCAGGATTGGTCAAAGGAATAGAGTGAGGGTACTAAGGGATCTTCTTCTCTTATGAAAGGCATGATCCATAAGTATTGCATAGATTAGGAGAAGAGCCAAGTAGACAGAAGGCTGCTACTTCTTGACAGAGTACCTCTCTACTGTGACGACAGCTTGGAGTAAGAAAGGTGGTGGGGGATGGGAAGAGAGCACCTCCTTCAGCAGACAGCCTTGCAAAAGCACACAGATCAAAAAGCTAAGAATATTCTAAAGACACACAGGGAGGAGAAGAGGCCCTCTTGCTTGCTCCAGCCCCGCCTCCACCTCTCACAAAAGAGAAGGTGATGTTACCTGCCCTGTCCTCCATTCCTCTCATAGGAACAGGAGCAGCAGCACCTTTCAAAGGGGAGCTGGTGGTTTCTTCCAGCCTTTGAGGGGTGGACCTGTGGGAGGGGCTGTTTTTGTACAAAGTTATAACATTGTGGGGACAGGGGGCCACGGTGATTCAATTCCATGGGAAGCCTTTACAAAAACCATTCTGCCTGTCCCAACATCCACAGAGCCTCCACTTTGCTCCTGGGTGAGCAGGCCCAGGAGCATTTGGGTCCTGGGTGCTTCAATTTCGTCCCTGGTCATGCCAGGTCAAGATCATGGACAAAGACAGGCCTAGACCAGAACTAGAGCTTCCCAGACAGAGAACCCAAGCATAAGAAGAGTGCCTCAAATGGTCTTGTAGATGAAGGATGCTGGGAGAACACTTCATTCCAACCCCAACTAACTCAGAACAAGGACAGTGGGAACGCATAGCAGAGGTGGTCAGTTCTACAGAGGACTCAGGAAAAAGCCAAGCTATCTCAGCTTTTGATGCATGTTCCAGTCCAGGATCTGGGACCTTGCTCTCTGCAGGTTTACCTCCCTTTGATCGACCCTCAGATAGGGAAAATTTGCATGGAGCATACTTCAAAACAGAGGTTGAGGTCTCACCGGATGGAACTCTGTATGCTTCACTGGTCCCATGATTCAGAGGTCAGAAACATTCTCGTCCCATTGTCTTCAAGATACCAGCTGGCGTCTTCTCTCCACACCTTGCATTGATTTTCCTCCTTGTCCCACTTCACTGTGTGAATACTGAAGTTTTCTTTGGAAAAGGCACCAAACTCACAGTTCTAGGTAAGAAACCTTCCAAGTAAATTTCCTGGCCCCTTCTCAGGTAAAAGTGGGACCCTATTGTCCATTTTGGAGTGGCTGCATTCTGATGTGCCAATTATGATTACACCTTCGGCTCAGGGACCAGGCTATCCGTAGTAGGTAAGGCCAGGGGTCTCTGGGTAAGGGGTGATGAGGCTGGATTCTGATCTGGGAAATATCACCTCCTTGGTCTCAGTTAAAAGAAAGATCGCCTCAGTCTGGAACTGAGGTCAGGCGAGATTCCCTGTGTAGGTTGAGTCAACCCCAAAGAGTCAAGAGAGTCTGGTCCAGGCAGAGGCTGTGGTGAAAGACAGGCAAGGGAGAGAAGATGGAGGTGATGTGCTATGACTGCCGCTGGTCCCTTGAGATGAGGGAAGCGGGGATGATTAATGAGCTGCGATATTCTCCATCTTCTTTCCTGGCGGAGCTTCTTTGAAAAGACTTCCCTTACTCTTGGTTTCTTAAGAATCTACACTGTCTCCCACTCCTTGCCTTGGTGTGTCCTCAGAATTTTCTGGAAGGGTGCAAGAAGTGTTGGAAGTGGACTGTGTCTTGCATAAAAGAAGTGATTCTTGAACTCCAGCCTAAATCCCAGCTGGGCTTAGCAGACAATGGGAGGTTTTGAGGTGGACCTGGGCGGCTGTGTTCTGGAAACGTCCTTCATTTTGGGGAGGGAAGCCGGCTCATTGTGGTAGGTAAGTCATGGTTGAGAATCAGAGGAAGATCTAATGTGGGTGCTTAGTTAAAATGTATTTGTTATTAAGATTGACATTTATATTCTGATGTGGGTAAGAAAAGTCTACATCCTCCAATAGTTCATGGGTCAGCTATGCCAAGCTTAGCATCCTACCAGGAGGTCCATGGGCTTAACAAGAAGCAGTCATGTTGTCTGCCTCTTATCTCCTGACGGGGCACCTGCCCTGGCCATAATCGATGGCAAGTTCTCTGGCTTTGTTGTAGTCACAGACATGCTAGTTCTCTCGTACAGAGAAGAGTTGAACCCACGAGAGAGGGTTGGGGGATCCCACAGGGACAAACTGGCTTCTGACCACATTTCAGTTGTGCAATTGCTGATCTGTCCCTTCCCCAGAGACAAACTTTTCCCAAGGAATGAGGGAGAGCTAGCAGATGGTTGTGGACAGGAAGGAGTAGAAGGCAGCAGGAGGTAGTTTTCCTGCCAGGTTTTAATGCTGTGTAAGTAATGAAAAACTGTTCTTTGGGAGTGGATCCAGGCTGACCGTCTTGGGTATGTACATGTTTTCTTTGGGTATCATATAGTGAGAAGACAGAGGAGAAAGAGGACTCCTTCAGGAGGACCAGGATGAGAGGAAAGTCGAAGTTGTAAGCTCAAAGAGGGCAGAAGGGCAGTGGAGAGGGTATCAGAGCCACTGGGTTCTGTGTGAGGCCTTTCCTTCTGGAAGGAAAGACTCCAGCAGCTAGTCTGGGGTTTGCCACCTTCCTGTTGTACTGTGTAACAATCAGGCCCAACACTTTGGAGAAGGGACTCGACTGGCTGTCCTAGGTAAGCTATAGGACCCGACGTGGGTTCCTCTTTTTCTTTTATGTGCATGCCTCTGTCCTCTTCTAAGCCACATCCTCCTGCCCACTAGCTTCTGTAAGATCCTTTGGCACTTTTCCTGGTAGGAGTCCATCAATCCAGAGCCATGCAGGCAGGCAGAGAGGTGGTTAGCTAGTTCTGGGGGAGCTAAGGCTGGTGCTCCTCTGGCTGAGGACCTCCTTGACTAGGTTTTAGCCAGGCATCCTGCAGCTGTGACTCTAATTCACCGCTCTCCTTTGGGGCCGGCACCAGGCTCACTATCATAGGTAAGAGGGTTCTGTTCTTGACTGTAGGGTGCCTATGTTTGCCTGAAATGGCCTAGAAAGGGAATGGGTAGAAGACTGGTGGTCAGAAGAGCCAAACCCTCCCCACCCAGCTCCGTATGCCCTCTCCCACCTTCTCTGGAGCTCGCCCCGTCTGCTGCTTTCTGTCTTCCTTTCAGATCTCCACGGTAAGGTTTCAAAGCCTGCTTCATCTAGATCTTCTTTTCCTTGTTCTCTGGGCCTCTCCTCACCCCTACTGTGTTAGTAAATATGTTGCTTTCCCTATCTATCCTCTTTTCCTTTGTGGTTTTTCCTTTGCAGTCTCAATCCCTTTCTGTGTGGTTCACCCTACTTTGGTGAGTAGCTCTGTCTTCTGGGCTAAAATCTCCCCAACAGCTACTTCCAGCATGGACTTCTGGTCTTGCCTGCATCTTCCTCCTCCTCGTCCTGGTCTCTATCAGTCTCTGAAAGCCTATGCTTGTCTCCTGGGTTGGCTGAAAGGACTGAGAGGCAGTGGGGACCAGGTGGGTGAGACCTAGGTGCGGGTCCTGAAGCTGACAGCCTAAGTCTCCCTGTCACAGTACCAGAGGAGCCGCAGCTGCAGTGTCAGAGGACACTGTGTTTGGTGGCTGTCAGGGACAGAGGTCTAAATAAAGGGGTAACTGAAAGCTTACACCGCCCTAGCAACAGATGGGTAATAAAGAAGCAGGAAACCCCATTTTCTCAAACCTCCAGGTCTATGTTGGAGAACAGAGTAGAGGGCTGCTCATGAGACCTTAAAGGTCATCATGCTTGGGAAGAAGTAGATAGAATGTGAGAGTGGGTTACATAGGATGGAGTCTTAGCTGGTGATACAGACAAGGCTAAAAGAATGGAATACCTAGGTCTTAGAAGGTTTCAGTGCCTGAACAGATACTGTCCTGAAGGTTGGTGGCGAGGTTCATGGAAAGCCTTTGAATTCAAAGCCTTTGGGTTCAAGGGGAGGGGGTTGAGAGCATGGTCTGTGACTGGGGCGGGGGGGGGGGGGGAATCATGCAATCCTTCTCAAATTCTCTACGATATATAAAATGGAAAAGACTACGTTACGTAAAAAGCTTTTGTAAAGGATTCGGTTTAATGTGACCCCTTTCATTCCTGTTGCTTGCTATTCCTGTGTCATAATTGATCTTTTTCCCAGCCCATGATTTTTCCATTAGAACCATTTGTTAACTTTGGGCAGAGTGGAGACATCTGGGCTCAGCATATTTATGCAACCAAAGCTTATCCCTGTGTTCAGAGCAGAGCCAGACAGAGAAGACAGTAAACCCAGGCAGAAGAGAGGATCCTTAAAAGAGGAGCTGAGGTTCCTTCTGTCCTTCTGATGAGATCGCTCTTTCCAATAATCCCAGAATTCTTTCCTTCCCATCTGTCAAGTTCGTGTGAGGGCTAGGGCTTTCCAGAGTGAAACCTTGGCCGAAACAGCCCTTGTACTGGGATGTGTTCCCGCCAGCACTCAAGTTCTCAGTACTTTTAGGAATGCAAAGTTTGCCTGCAAATTAGGATTTATTTCACGCTTACTGAACACAGAAAGAGAAAGAAAGAAAGAAAGAAAGAAAGAAAGAAAGAAAGAAAGAAAGAAAGGAAGGAAGGAAGGAAGGAAGGAAGGAAGGAAGGAAGGAAGGAAGGAAGGAAGGAAGGAAGGAAGGAAGGAAGGAGAAAGAAAGAAAGAGAGAGAGAGAAAGAGAGAGAGAAAACGATGAAAGAAGGGAGAGGGAGTGAGAAGGAGAGAGGAAGGGAGGAAGAGAGGGAGAGAGGGGGGAAGGGAGGGAGGAGGGAGAGAAAGAAGGGAGAGAGAGAAAGAAAAAGAAAAGAGAGAGAGGCTACAGTCATTGTGGGCAGGCTCCTACAGCCCCAAATCTCAGTATAGGAGTTGCTGTGGAACATCAGATAGACTGCCTGCCGGAGACACCCTGTTGCCTTAAAGCAAGTTAAACAAAGTTTTAAGCAAGTTAAAACAAAAAATAAAGATAAAGGACTTGGAGCCGGGTGTTGGTGGCTCACACCCATAATCCTAGCTACTCAGGAGGCTGAGATCTGAGGGTGGCACTTCAAAGCCAGCCTGGGCAGAAAAGTCCCTGTGAGACTCGTATCTCCAATTAACTACTCAAAAACCAGAAGTGTGCTGTGGCTAGATTGGTAGAGCACTAACCTTGAGCACAAAGCGGCTCAGGGACAGCACTCAAGCCCTGAATTCAAGCCCTACAACCAACAAACAAGAAAAGGGACTTAGATTTGAATATGATATTAAGAAATATAGTCAACATAATGGGAAACTATTTCTCTAGGCAAGGAAGACTGATTCTAATATGGGGTGTCACCCAAACAGACCTTACATATATATATCTATATATATATCTATATCTACATATAGATATATATATAGATATACATACCTCACATACAAAATAAAACAATCATTAGGAAAACATCAATTTAGTTTCTGTGATCATGATGCTGCTAAGTCTTCTGCCTCAAAAAAAAAATCTATACTGGAAAGAAAAACAGGGAGAGAATGGAGGAGAGAGTAACATTATCCAAAAAGAAATGTTCTCATTAACTGACTTATGTCACTATAACTCCTCTGTATATCACCTTTATAATAAGAAGTTAAAAAGGAAATCTACACTCAACTCCGATGGCTGCTTCTAAATCGACATGATTAGATAGCCATGAGCTGATCATGACTTGGAACAAGTGAGAAAGATTCCATAGATACATTCTTTGGATAGACAAACAAATCCCAGAGTATGATGTAATGGAAACCCAAAGGTTCAAGACCCACTGCACTTCACAGAGATGGAGAGGCTAGTGGGCAACACACACAGACCCAACCACAAGGCAAATGGGGCTACTATAAGATAGATTTGCTTGATAATAATCATCTCCAGCTCCCCCGCACTGTCTCCGCTCTCCCTCTCATGCACACACACACACACACACACACAGCCCCATACCAGGCCATCCCATCCCTCAGCTCAGCCCTGCTCTCAACCCTCTTCACTTTCCAGAGGACCTGAGCAAGGTGACCCCACCCACGGTCAACGTGTTCGAGCCATCAGAAGCAGAGATCGCCCAGAAACAAAAGGCCACCCTCGTGTGCCTGGCCACGGGCTTCTACCCCGACCACGTGGAGCTGACCTGGTGGGTGAACGGGAAGAAGGTGCACAGTGGGGTCAGCACGGACCCTCAGCCCTACCACGAGTACCCCAATGTCAGCGACTCCACCTACTGCCTGAGCAGCCGCCTGAGGGTCTCGGCCGCCTTCTGGCACAATCCTCGCAACCACTTCCGCTGCCAAGTCCAGTTCTTTGGGCTGGAGGAGGAAGATGAGTGGGCCTACGATAAGGCCAAGCCTGTCACCCAGAACATCAGTGCCGAGATGCAGGGCAGGGCAGGTGAGTGGGGCCTGGCCTACCGGATCGGAGGCTGTCAGTGCCAGAGAGAAATGGAAAGATCTAAGTAGAAAACTACAATCTAAAATATAGAGCCAGGTGCCAATGGCTCACACCTGTCATCCTAGCTACTCAGGAGGCTGAGATCTGAGGATCACACTTCAAAGCCAGCCTGGGCAGGAAAGTCCGAGAGACTCTTATCTCCGATAAGCCACCAGAAAACAGGAAATGGCACTGTGGCTCAAGTGGTAGAGCGCTTGCCTTGAGCTGAAGAGCTGAGGGACAGCACCCAGGCCCAGAGTTCAGGCCCCATGATCAATAATAATAATAATAACAATAATTAATAAATAAATAGAAAGCTTTTTTAAAACATAGACAGAAAGAGGGGAGGGACTGAAGCCCACCATGAAGGCAAGCTGGGCACCTGCAGGTAACTTTCCCCCAGAGCCCCAGCCCGGCAGCCTTGCAGTGCAAGATCCCTTTCTACATGGCCTACGCACCTCAGTAGCTGCATAGCCCTGCTCAGCCCCTCTCATTCTGACCCACTACGAGTCTCAGGGATGGTGGGCTGCGCTCTACGCGCTGTGCTCCATGCCTCTGCCTGCAGAGGATGCTGGTATGGACCTGGTAGTCTATATCCAGCTCTTCACCAATGCAATGTTCGATCTGCCTATCAAGATGAGGTCTCTCACCCACTTTTCTCCCCCTTTTTACTTCCAGATTGTGGCTTCACCTCAGGTGAGTGATCCTATTCCTTTCCGTGGAAACGAAAGCAGGTCACGGAGAACAAGGGTGGGGGAGGCCAGAACCATGTCCTCATGGGAACTCACCCGCCTGCTCTTCCTTCCTTCCCGCCATCAGTGGTATATCACCAAGGAGTCCTCTCCGCCACCGTCCTTTATGAGATCTTGCTGGGGAAAGCCGCCCTGTATGCTGTGCTGGTCAGCACCCTCGTGCTGATAGCCATGGTAAGGAGGCGGGCAGGACAAGGCAGGTTACTGAAGGTGACCTGACATCCAGTCATGTAGTAGGCCCTGTGAGGACCCGCAGTGGGCAGTGGAAAAGGAGGAATCTCTACTGCTGCATCTTAGAAGACAAGCTGTCCTCCTCACAGACTGCAATGGAAAGGCAATGCTGTGAGAATCCCAGAAGGAGAGGCTGCAGCCACTCAAAAGCCCAGTGGCTAGTGTGCGAAGTTCTACTGTCTATCCGAACAATGGGCCTGTTTTACTTCCTCAGTCTCCATCATTCCAAACTTCTCTTTTGCAGGTCAAGAGAAAGGACCTCTGAAGTCCCCTCTAGAGATGGAACCCACCGATCCGTGATGGTGTCAGTGTGGATTCACCTTTGCCTGTGCTTCTAAGGAGCTATTCCCGTCTGTCTGTGCATCCCGCATCTACTCCCTAGTGCTTGTTCATCTGTACACTTAGGGATAACATCTCCCTAACCCAGAGGAAGCCTAATGCAGCCAATAAAAATGTCGCAGTCTGGCGTGACTCTGTGTTTTGTGTCTAGATTTCTCTGCGGCTTGTCTGTCTCTAAACTCTCTGAGACTCTTTCCTCCAAATCATGAGAGAAATAAGAGATGTTCAAGGAAAATGTCCCACTCAAGTAAAATAAATCAACCAATCAACAAGTGATTGACAGGAGAGACTCATTAAATATGGAAGGCAGTGATGGGAGAAGAGGTTCTTCCCAGCACCAGAAAGGATGGAAATGCTGAGTACTGGAATGTTTTGTCCTGCCCTAGACCAAAAATGCTCTGAGGAACATAAATGTGTCTGCCTTCTGTGGTCATGCCCCCATGGCTAATAAGGAATCGATCGTTGTATGTCACCACCTTCCTTTCTGCCACCTCACTGAATGCTCCACGTCTTTGTTCACCAAGTCAGTTTTGCAGCTGAGAATGAGAGCATGCCCTTGATTTGGAAACTTATTTCCAATGGATGATGCATCTTCCAGTTTAAGTTACCACTCCATTGATAAATCTTTCTCTAGTGAGTTAGAGAGCTGTGAACGTGTCCCTCAAAACTCCTGGAAATACAGTAAAGTTTTCTAATACTGAGAATCATCCCTCTTCCAACTTCTAGAAATCCTTCAAAAGCTCTCTGATATGTCATTGTCACCATGGTAACATAGTCCCCATCCTTCAGGTGTTGTGAAGACCTGATAATGAACTCTACCGATTTAACCCACACTCTCCCTGCTGCTGTCAATCCTGAAGCCTGAGCTTATTTTATCATCAGGCCATCCGCATCTAGAGCTACTCAGTGCCTTCCCTCCCCATAGTAATCCCCACCTTGCCCTAGAGATTTGACCTCAGTGTCTGGGGATAGTGGTTCAGAGCCAACATGGGCAGTATCTGTAAGTCTCTTAACTCCAATTAACCACCAGAAAACCAGAAGTGGAGCTGTGGCTAAAAGTGGTAAAGCACTAGCCTTGATCAAAAATCTCAGGGACAGTATCCAGGCCCTGAGTTCGAGTCATACAACCAACAAAAACAACGACAGCAAAGCCTTCTCTGGCCCCTTATTACTACCCATACCTCCCACTTCTTCTCCCGAGACTAGATTAAACACATTCTGTATTTTGCCATCCTAGTGCTGAATGCAGACTTCATCCATGACACTTATCACACTTGGTTAAAAAAAAAAAAAAACTACGTTTTTTCTGATATCTGCACTTGACTAGGAGTCCTTGAAAACAAGAACACATTTCATAATAGCATCCCTGAAATAATGGAATGAAAAACTTGGTTCAGAGTACACCTCAGGTGAGTTGTTTAAGAAATCAGCCAAGAAATATATATACCCAAAGTGAACCAATTCAGCTGCAGGAATCACCATAAAGCCTTCCTGAAATAGCTATCTACTCTTCCATTTACAACATTCTCTGTTATAACACATACATGTTTCACAAGTGTGTCAAGGAAAACATATATATATATATATATATATATATATGCACCCATATAAATATATGTGATCACACATATGCATTCACTTACCCACTAACTGAACATATAGCATACTGCAATGTGTTGCTACCAATTTCCAAGAAAAAAGTATATTTATATGTATCTGAATTAATGCTCCAATTATTCATAAAGGGGCTTCAGTCATGAACAGAACGCACTGAAATATAAGGCCATGCTCTGAAACCCCAATGTGAGCTGTCCACTAAACTGCAGCCAGTCATTAGTGCTCAGTGTCTGGCTGAGGTACTCAGGGAAGAGTCTGAGGAGGTGGCAAACTCTCCAAAGGAAGAATTGATCTCAGTTGTCCACTCTAGCAGATGTTCACGCCAGCCAGAAGCACGAACAAAAACCCAAACATGGCCAGTTTCTTCTAAGGACATTTATTTAGCTTGATGCAAGTCTCAGAGAGAGGAGTAATCACAATCAAGGCTGAAAATTCAGGTCTGTATATGACTCTGAAGACAGAATCATCCGTTTACAACCTCTATGGGGCATGACACACACAGTAGGTATTCACCAGATATTTGTAGGATAAATGACTGCAGAATTTGGACTTTGCCGAGGAAATGATCATCATTTCTGTTTGTTTGTCCGTGTGTCATAAGCTGCCATCCCTATTTTGTGAGTTCCCCTGTTCACACTGCCTTTGCACTCGTAGCTCCTCCCACCTACCTCCCTATAAATGCCAGTCTGAGCAGGTGGGCTCCAGTGGGGAGCCCCAGTGACATAGAAGGTCTCCCAGGGTGATGAATGACCCAGAATGGAGCTCCCTGCCTCCTTCACCATCATCACCACCACTAATCCCAAGCCCCTCCCCACTTGAGATTTACCCCTGCAATTCTCTGCCCAGCCTCCCTCAGTCAGTCTAAACTCTGCCATCTGTGCTTCCGGCCCCTGCCCAGGGATTGGGGGAGGGAGGAGGGGGGGGGAGAGGAAATCTTTTTGTATCATAGTGTAACATTGTGGGGAGTGGGGGGGGCGCACGATGATTCAAGTGAAAGAGAAGCTTTTACAAAAAGCTCTGCCCTAGAAAACAGCCTCTTCCAGACCGGGGAATGCAGTTACATGTTGGCGAACAGTTTGTGAAGTTGGTCCCTGACCAGCCAGGCCTTAAGGTCTGGACCTGCAATACCTGTGCATCTATCTCTCTGCCCAGACAACCTTCCCAGGAATATGTGGACCAAGGCAGCAAAGTAGGATCACCGGTCCGCCCCTTTCATCAAGCTGGCCTTTGCAAGCACCACATATTAAGAACTCATCAAATCCAACCCCTTGGAGGTGAAAAAACAAATGGAACCCATTTTTCAGATGAAGAAACTGAGGTCACAACGTTACAGGTTACATAAGTAGTAAACCATGAGGCTGGCTTGTAACATTTCCTCATTCCAGACCATCCCATCCCCACCCCTAGCCCCTTCCAACTTCAAGTTCGGTGTCCCCCCTCAAAGTTGACTGTCCACTACAAATCTACCCTGTGCGCTGTCCAGATGGCTATGCTTCCTCTACGTTCTCAAGGTGGGAAGAGAGCACGCCAGGCAGGCTAGGGTGGGGGCCTCTGCTGCTAAGGGAGGTGGGGATGGAGTTGGAATTCTTGTCAGCCCCTTCCCTCTGTGGTCCTTTGCTGAGCAATTCTTCGGCCCAGGGACCCATCTCACTGTGCTAGGTAAGAAGGTCGGTAAGGCCCCTGTGAAGAGGCCGGAGGGTTAATTCAGCCTGGACGATTCTCTCTAGGGGAGGGTGGGCTAAAGGCAGGGGTTTGCACCAGGGTTCCCGGGGCTGTGTGAACACGGGACAGTTGTTCTTTGGAGATGGCACCAAGCTGTCCGTGCTGGGTAAGAAGGCGGTGAGGTGCCTGGGCCAGAGGACCGGGGCTGGGGCTGGGACGGGGGCTGGGGGCTTGGTGGGGAGCAAAGCTGGGGCTGGGATCGCTGTGGTTTTTGTCCTGGGCCTGGAGGCTGTGAACTCAGAGACTCAGTATTTTGGCCCAGGAACCCGGCTGCGGGTGCTAGGTAAGTGGGGCGCGCTGGGAACCTGGAACCAAGTTAGGGGCGCTCCGGGACACGGGGATGGCCGGGGTTTGTTTTTGTACCGTGCCCAGGGGCTGTGAGCCAAGACACTCAGTACTTCGGTGCTGGTACTCGGCTCTCGGTGCTAGGTAAGAGGGGACGATGGCGGGGTGGGGTTTGGTGCTGGGAGCAGAGCCGGTGATCACCAGGAGAGCCAGTACCTCGGGGCTCCCGGCGCTGGGTGAGCTGGGGTCTCTCGAGGCGGGGAACGGCGGCGGCGAGTGGAGCTAGGGTCGGGTTTTTGTGGGGAGCCCCGGGGCTGTGATCCACAGCCGCTCTGACTTTCGGGGCCGGCAGCCGGTTAACGGTGCTGGGTGAGTCTCGGGGGCGCACGGCCGGGCGGGGAGGGAAGGCGGCCCCCACCGCCCCCGGCTGCTCCGCAGCTGCTTCCCCGCCCTGCGCGTTCCTTCGCCTCCCGGGGTTCGCGCGGCGGGTGCGCGCTGCTCAGGTTTGCGTGAGGGGCTGTGTCTGCGTGCTCCTACGAGCAGCATTTCGGCCCGGGCACCAGGCTCACGGTCATAGGTAAGATTCCGCCTTCGCCGCCGACCTCTGAGTTTCTGGCGGAGGAGTTGGGGGGCGCGGGATGGAGCGGAGTTGGGGACCCGCGGAGAACTTGCGATGGGTGGGAGGGCGGAGGGGTCGGTCACGCAACTTGACCTTCGCTTTCTGCTTCCTGGACTGGGTGGGGTCCGTCGGAGACAGGGGCGTCCGGGGTCCGGACCCCTACAGGGGACAAAGGGGGCTCCCCCCTCGCCCTCTCCACCACTTTCTTAAGTTTGAGGTCCTTGGAGAGGCAGACATGCTTGCCCATGGCTGGGCACCGACAGACACTGACCCAAGCTCAGGAGACAAACCTCAGCCACTGGGGTGCATTCACCCCTAGATGTACCCCTGTCCTGGCTAGCTTGAAATGACTATCACTCACACTACGCATTCCAGGTGAGACAGTGCAGATCGTACAGAGTTATTCAGCACAAACGCAGGCTGAAAGGCGGGTGCTCTGCCTTTAAGTTCTCAAAGACCAGAGAGGAACTTAAACATCACCAAAGATGATCAAATCAATGTGATTTGACTGTTGTTAAATTGGATCCAATCAGACTCAGCCATACTTTAGTGTGTCCAAACTAGGTTCTTGTGGCCAGCTAGGATGGAGAGGTCTAAAAGTGTAGAGCCAGCGGGGGTTGTTCTGGTGCTAGCTTTTGGGGATTCACTGCTTTGGGGTAAGTGGATATGTGAACCTCAGTTTCTATGAGCATAGAAATGGAGAGGAAGGCCATAAGGGAGAGTTGGGTTGGGAAGAGAAACTTCATAGTATTCCCTGAGGCTAGTCCCCCCCACCCAGCAGAGCTCATACCAAGAGCAGTGTGCGGGCATGCTGACACACACACAGGCAAGCTGCTGCCACCATCACCACCACCACCACATAAACATACACCCTGCAGGGCACCGTATCTTCAGAAGCATATGACGCCAGCCTTGCCCTGGAGTTGTCTGGACAATGCTTTGGGGTTTAAATGAGGTTCTGCTTGTACTTGTTGTGCCCATGGCATAGATAAATTTAGTAGGGAATAGAACATTGGGTTCAAACATGTCGAACTTTTTTATGATAGGTACTGAGTGTTTGCTAAGAGAAGGGGGTCAGAGAGGTACACTGAACAAATGCCCCTGGAAGGCAAGGAGAGAGAGAGAGAGAGAGAAAGAAAGAGAGAGAGAGAGAGAGAGAGATGGTGCCAAGCAGTGAAGATGTACATAGAAGTGCAGTCATTACCATATCAGCGTACACTTAGCCCATAAAGACCAGGTCACATAACTAATTAGCAAAGTAGGACATGAAGAAAGGAAGATGAATGAGATAGAGGCAGGAAGCTATGAAATTTGAGAGCCCAGACCAAAATGAAAATGTAAAGGCTTCTGAAAACACAAACAAAAAAATCTCATTCAGAATTCCAAAATGGCAGCAGCAGAGCATTAAAGGAGAAGCAGGCCCTCCTAAGCCCACGGTCCCCTACAGTGAGCATGCAATTGTATGCCTGTCACATAGGCCCTGGAAGGACGTCAGACCCATAGAATACAAAGGAGCAGAATACATTTTCTCCATAGTCCCAGAGATTGTGATTAGGTTTTATTCAAAAGATATCTCTTCATTTTAACTTAACTGCTTAGAAGCAAAAATAAAAATAAACAATGAAAAATGGCTGGGAAGGTGGCTCAGTGGTAGAGCACTTGCCTTGTATGCATGAGGCTCTGGGTTCTATTCCTCAGCACCACATAAAAAGAAAAAGCCAGAAGTGGTGCTGTGGCTCAAGTGGTAGAGCGCTAGCCTTGAGCTGAAGAGCTGAGGGACAGCACCCAGGCCCAGAGTTCAAGCCCCACAACTGACCAAAAAAACGAAAACAAAAAACAAACAAAAAAAAAAATGAAGAGCAAACAACAGGCTGGAAACTCAGGCAGGGCAAAGGATAGGACAGATCACATGCCACCAAGTGTCAGAAACCTCACATTCTCACAAACTTCAGCCCAGAAGAATGTTCCCATATGAAAGCAAAAACATATCTTCTGTTTATTATGAACTAAAGAAGGCCCTCTCTTGCTGGGCACTGGTGGCTCACACCTGTAATCCTAGCTACTCAGGAGGCTGAGATCTGAGGATCACAGTTCAAAGCCAGCCTAGGCAGGAAAGTCTAAGCAGGAAAGTCTGTGAAACTCTTATCTCCAATTAACCACCAGAAAACCAGAAGTGGTGCTGTGGCTCAAGTGGTAGAGCACTCACCTTGAGCTGAAGAGTGCAAGGTCAGCGCCCAGACCCAGAATTCAAGCCCCACGATTGACAAAAAAAAAAAAAAGAAGGCCCTCTCCCAACAAATGTCTCTCTTATCCAAAATTTCTCTTTATTCTTTTACTCTCTAGCGTCAGATACAAATGACCTGACTTAGGGGGAGATATTCTTTTCTTTTCTTTTTTTTGTCAGTTGTGGGGCCTGAACTCTGGGCCTGGGTGCTGTCCCTGAGCTCTTCAGCTCAAGACTAGTGCTCTACCACTTGAGCCACAGCACCACTTCTGGCATTTTTCTGCTTATGTGGTGCTGAGGAATCGAACCCAGGGCCTCATGCATGCAAGGCAAGCGCTCTACCACTGAGCCACCTTCCCAACCCCATGAAGAGACATTTTTAATCTTTACATTATTTATCTTTGTACCCGTTTAGGAAAGTTAATGTCCTCACTTCACAATCAGCCAGAAGAAAAAAAAAATTGCAGGCATTAAAGAAACTGTCTCAAAGTCACTTGGCTGAGCAAGGTCAATGCAAATTTAGATCCTGTTATTCTGACATCTACAAATAGCTTTGTTTAACTAACAGCTACAAAACATGGTGAGATATAGACAGTCAAGCTTTGATGGAGGAAAAACTAAATAATGTCATTCAAAGGACACTGCCCAGAATGCAGCCTTAGAGGAATTGTAGAAGAATGAACACTGCCTGTCCATAGGCTGAGCACAAGCAATTATGAAACAGGGAGAATTTCAAATAGGAATGGAACAGTGAGCCCGAAGCAAATAGTGTCTATGACACATTGATTTGATTACGACTCTCTCTGAGGGGGATGGCCTTTCTCTCTTTCTCTCACTAACACACACACACACACACACACACACACACAGCCCCATACCAGGCCATCCCATCCCTCAGCTCAGCCCTGCTCTCAACCCTCTTCACTTTCCAGAGGACCTGAGCAAGGTGACCCCACCCACGGTCAATGTGTTCGAGCCATCAGAAGCAGAGATCGCCCAGAAACAAAAGGCCACCCTCGTGTGCCTGGCCACGGGCTTCTACCCCGACCACGTGGAGCTGACCTGGTGGGTGAACGGGAAGAAGGTGCACAGTGGGGTCAGCACGGACCCTCAGCCCTACCACGAGTACCCCAATGTCAGCGACTCCACCTACTGCCTGAGCAGCCGCCTGAGGGTCTCGGCCGCCTTCTGGCACAATCCTCGCAACCACTTCCGCTGCCAAGTCCAGTTCTTTGGGCTGGAGGAGGAAGATGAGTGGGCCTACGATAAGGCCAAGCCTGTCACCCAGAACATCAGTGCCGAGATGCAGGGCAGGGCAGGTGAGTGGGGCCTGGCCTACCGGATCCGAGCCTGAGCAGAACTAGCATCAGAGGGAAGCAGATAGATCCAGATGGAGGTCAAGGGTACATGGAGGAGAAGACATAGACAAGCCTCAGTGTCAGCAAAGCATGACATGGATTTCCTGGCTCTTTGAAGCTCATCAGGGCAGCTCAGACCCAATCAGTCCCCAGATGCTGTGCTAAAACGTGCATAATCAACCATACAGTGCGGTCTCTGTGTCTCCCAGTCCCATGGATGGATCTAGTGTTTTAAGTTCATAGTGACGCGGTCCCTGTACTGGACCAGCATGAGGAAGGAAGTGCCCGGGCTTTTCACTGTCTGCCATACATGATCTATGAACCTGACTTTAAAGCATTATGATTTAAGGTTTGGTGTTCCTAAGAAATGGCGTTTTCTCACCCATTCTCTCTCCATCTTTTCTTTCAGACTGTGGCATTACCTCAGGTGAGTGAGCCTCTCCTTTTCTCTCCCATGTCTATGGCTTTGACTCTTTTTCTTAAAAAAACAAAAACAAAAACAAAAAAAGCCCAGAGACACAATGGAATGGGAAACTGCCTCTCTTAGGTACCTACCTGCTCTCTCTCCCTGCCCACAGCAACCTATCAGCAAGGGGTCCTGTCGGCTACCATCTTTTATGAGATCCTCTTGGGGAAGGCCACCCTGTATGCTGTGCTGGTCAGCATCCTTGTCCTGATGGCCACGGTAAGGAGGAGGACAGCTCAGGGCAGGTGATTGGGAGGAAGGTGTGGAACATTGCTATAGGACATAGGGGATCTCACAATCGGTGCTAGCCATGTATCCTGTCATCTCAAAGAGACCAGAAAGGACCACAGACCTAGAAAAGAATCTATGGTGTCATTGTGGAATATAGCACTGGGGGATGAGAACAACCAATGAATCCTCCTCAGAACTAGACCCCGGCCTCACTTCTAGTGCTCCATGCAATCTAGGCCCTAACCATGTCCTCTGTTACTCAGGTCAAGAAGAAGAACCCCTGAGGCTAGCTGCTGTTGTTCAGCCTGAGGTCCTCTTCAACCACTCTCTGGATCCTCCTGTACCTGCCCTCTAATCTGTGTTTGTAAGAAATTCTTCTCTCTCCCCTCCTGACATGGGTGTCTGCATCCTTCCAGATTGCGTCCCATGCACTGGGCTCCCAGCTGTGAATCAGCCACAGAATAAACGATGCTGAATAAAAATGCTGAGCTTGGTTGTGCCTCCTCAAGTGAGTCTGGTCCTGCCTTCGCTCAATTCCCTTCTGGTCTGAGAAGGCACCATCTCCTCTGCCGTACAGTGACTAATCCACCTCTTCTCCACATGGCTTCCCTCTGTGCCACCTGATGGAGGTCCCCAGCCATCTAGACATCCCAGGTCCCCAGAATAGAGTTTGAAGAGCAAGGGCTGGGCTCTGGAAAACTGATACTGTAGGAGGAGCACAGGGAACCCTAACACTTGCTAACATTAAGACTAAAGGTTAGACTAGCCTAAGGTTGGTTACAATAGCCCAAGGTTACAATAGCCCTTGGATTAGTTCCAGGGTCAAGGATTAATTGCTATAGCTTTAGATCTTAGATCTGTGTCTATCCTTAACACCCTCCAGCATAATTGTTTAAGGATTTGAGCTTAAGGTTTGAGTTGCTCTATGCCTCTAGGCTGGGATCCTAGATAAGGCACTGAGTGGAGAAAAGTGATTCCTCAAGTGCAGGTTGTCTCTTGGGAGCCGGGCACGTGGGCCAGGCCCCGGGTGAGGGGAGGGTGGGGCTGAGGTGGCAGATGGGGAGAAGCTCTTCCACTGGGCTCCTCTGGCTCACAGATGGAGACCAGACCACTCCAAGGCTAGGGCACACTGGTCATGGCACTTTCATCATAGCAGAACTCTACACACTAAGGGTGGGGAGAAACGTATTCCAGAAGGAAGGCCTAGGACCGTGAGCTGGGTCGAGTCTAGTTCGTTGGGTTGTCCAAGGTGAGTCTGACAGCCCTGGCACATGCACTGTCCCATTTGATCCCTCCAAAGACCATAGAAGCAAGTATTGACCTCTCTATTTCACAGTTGTAGAAGCTATATAATTCGTAGAACAAATGCCTGTTAAAGCAATGAAGCCACTCTTTCTTCTAACGATGAAGGCAGGGATTGTTGTACAAAGCAGTGACCAGGATGGCGTGCTTGCTCCTGGAGTCACAGTGACCCTAAGTGGCTGCTTCTGACCTCTAGGGAAAGTACTACAGCAACACCTCAAGGTGCCCCCAACTCCTCAGTGTTTTTGTTTTCTAGGGATGCCTAAACCATGTGACAAATTGCCAGAGAACAAAGTGCCACTGGGTGGGTTTAGAACAAGAAAAACTGATTTCTCTTCCAACTTGGGAATCCAGAAATCCAAAGATGCCATTAAGGGTCAGGTTCTCTGACAGTGCCACAGAACCTTTCTTGCTCCTCCTTCATATGATTCCCAACACTCCTTACCTGTATCAGTATCTTCCTGCCTCCACCTTCTCTATGTCTTAGCATGTAAATCCCCCCTCCTTTCCTTTACTGACACAGGTGTCATTGTATTTAGGGCCCATTTAGACACAGTTGGAGTGGGGGACATTCTTTTTTATTTTAATTAAGTTTTTCATTGTGAAAATATTGTACAAAGAGGTTACAGTTATATGAGCAAGGTAATGAGTATATTTCTTATCAAGCATTGTTGCCTCCTCCTTTGCTTTTCCCCTACCATCCCTCTCCTCCCACCTCCTCAGCTATACCCTCCACCCCTGCCTAAACTGTAAAGTTGGTTTTTCAACATAGCATCTTGTACACCTCATTGTTGCAATGGGTCCATTTGTATCCCTACTTAAACAATTTGTTTTTTTCCCTTCCACTCCCCAAATTATACCAACATCAAATACAGTGAAAACAGGGGTTATACTGTTGGGGAGGGACATACAAAGCAACAAAAAAATCACATGGTACCTTATAACTATGTTAGAAACAATAGCAAGGAAGAAAAAAAACCACTTGTGTCCCTATCTTGGGGTTCATTCACTTAACATCATCTTATCTAACCTTTTCTGCTTGTCCCAGACATATACTAGTTATTGCAAATAAAGGAAACCATGAGACCTATGTTTCTTTGGGCCTGGCTTACTTCACTTAATATAATTTTTTCCAAGGCTTTCCATTTCCTAACAAATGGGGCAATGCCGTTCTTTCTGATGGAGGCATAGAATTCTATTGTGTATATATACCACATTTTGTAGATCCATTCATCTACTGAGAGGCATCTGGGTTGGATCCATATCTTAGTTATGGTAAATAATGCTGCAATAAACATAGTTGTGCTGGTAGCTTTAGTATGGTCTTCTTTGTGATCATCCTGGTAAATGCCAAAAAGTGGGATTGCTGGGTCATAGGGGAGCTCTATGTGGAGTCTTTGGAGGAACCTCCATACTACTTTCCAAAGTGGTTGAACAAGTTTACACTCCCACCAACAATGTAGTAGGGTTCCCTTCTGGCCACATTTGAGTGGGGGACATTCTTGATCCCATAATACCAAGTATCCAGGAAATAGAGCTGAGAGATTTCATAAACATGGCTTCCATATTCCAGGAAGGAATGACTCTTAGGGCTGAGTTGGCTTAGGGAGCTTGTGGCATGCTGATAACCCCCACTAGTTTTAAACGATGTCTAGAGTCTCAACCTGCACTAGTTGTTTTGTTGATCGTTGCTTTGTCCGTTGTTATGTGTTGGTTTGTTTCCATGATGGCTAAAATGCAGGACAGCAAAGGGGATAGACATCAGGCCCTACGCCAACATTCACAAAAGGATGCCCCCACTCTTTAGTTATATGGGAAAGGTTGTGGACATATTCCTGTAGCTCCTCTAAAGGGTGGGGGTGGGGATGGGAGGGAGAGGAGTATATGAAATAATGAGCAAATGCTTCAGAAAAAAAAATAAGGTGTTGTGTGGGACACGGAAAAGAGACTGCAACTGGAGTGTTGAAGGATAGGAGTTTTTGAGAAAATACATCTGAAGGTCTGAGCATCTGTGAAGTTAGACCAAGGGAAGAAGGCAGTTCTTCAAAAAGGAGAATTGGGTCTGTCATTTGGGGATTATCATTTTGCAGATGCCAAAATCAAAGGCATCCACTAGCAGGTAGGAGATTGTAGGAGAAGCTTGGCTTTTACCCTAGATTTGCCACCATGTCAAGATGAAGAGCAAAGGACTCTTCTTTAGAGAAACAAATGTCGGGTACAATTCACCCTCTAGGGTGAAAACTAGATTTAACAGACTTGCAGAGAGGAAGAAAAGAATAAAAACACCTGATCACCATCCAACACCCTAGGTGACACAAGAAAGATTTTCTTTCCAAGTCTTTAAAACCCATTCTTCATCTCTCCCAAACATTTCCCAATATTCAACTCATGGGCACGGGGAAAATCCTCTTTTCTACTTCTGCCTTTGCCTCTTTCTCAAGAATCTAAGTGCATCAATCTGGATCATTTCCTCTCCATTCCTCCTGAGGATAAACTAAGCAAAAATAGATTAGATATAGAGCAATGATATCTTGTTTTATGAGTTTGGATACTATTGAGAGTGAAAGACCCACTGACCAGATAGGATACTTGCATAAAAGCAATAAGCCAGGACTATCCTGGTTCTGGACACCAGGAAGGAGCTTCTGAAACAATCATTGGGTTCAGAGTTATTCCTGCAATGAGAGACACTGAATTTTCATCCTGCAATGAGAGACACTGAATTTTCATTGACTGGAACCACAGTGCACTTGTTTTAACCTTAGGGCTGACCTGAGTTTCATGTCATTTAGGAACCACGTGGGCACAATGTAGGACAAGGAGAGCAGTAAACTCTACAAGTAATACCAGTGTGGAGATACCATGCATACTGATTAAGAGGTCCACACATAGCACCTGTAGAAGAATAGCAGTCCCCATGGGGTAGCTGACCGCCTCCCTGGACTTATTTGACAATGAGGAGAAGGAAAAGGCCAACCAAATGATTATGAAATAATCATTCCTGGAGAGCACAGAAGATTCTGTGGCAGGGGATACTCAGGTCACCTTCACTTGCCTAGAAGAAAACTTTTTTTTTTTTTTTGCTGGTTCTGGGGCTTGAACTCAAGGCCTGCGTGCTCTCCCTGAGCTTCTTTGTATTCAAGGCTAGAACTCTACCATGTGAGCCACTGTGTCACTTCCAGAATTTTTTAGCTTATTGGCAATAAGAGTCTCACCAGGACTTTTCTGTCTGAGCAGGCTTTGAACCACAATCCTCAGATCTCAGCCTCTTGTTTTTCTAGGATTATAGGTATGAGCCACCAGTGCCCAGCTAAAGAAAACATTTCTTGTCACCATATTTCATTTTGTGGCAGACACATTTCTTATCAGATACAATTTCATTTAGCATCCATAAAGATCTTTCTTCACTGCTAAGTAAGGTTGGGGCATAGGGTTGCTCTAGGAGCAACTACTATCTATGGATTCTAACAGCTCCATTTCCTGCTCTGAGCCATTTACCAGTTCTGGGGGGTGGGGGAGGGTAAACCAGAGTCTGGCTCAACCTCTAACAGTGGATGTGACACATGGCTGAAAATGCCCTGTGTAGGAGGAATGTTGTAAGATGACTCTAGCTAGGCATGGGTTTAGAAGTGAGAGATTGGTGTTCAGAGTCCTGTGTGTGAGAACAAAAATGCAGCATTTTCTTTCTTGCTTTTTTTGTAATTATCTTTAAGTAGTTGTACAAAGGAGTTGCCATTTAACACAGCAGCTTACGAATATAATGCATCTTGATCAATGACATCCCTTTCAACATTCTCACCCATCCTTCCCCTACCCACCCTGTCCCTCACTCCTCTAAATTTTGTAGAATATATATTAAATTTTTGACTGCATTCCCCCTCTCTTGTCCCTTTCATTTGTCTACCCCTTTCTCCTTGACCTTTCCCCCACCCCTTTCTAATACCAGATTCCTGGTGTTTATTTTGGTGAACTTTGACTTTGCCTTTCTAAGGAATTACTCTACTGGAGTCCTCCCTTGAATCTACCATATTTCAGTAAATACATTGGTATACATTTGCATGCCACCCAACATATTGACTTATGAGTTTGTAAGCCAACTCCGGCTTCTGCATATGAGGGAAAACATGCATCCTTTGTCTCTCTGGGCCTGGCTTATTTCACTCCACATAATTGTTTCCAAGTCTTTCCATT